CAGTGTGTCATCTTCCGGAGAATGGGGCTAGAGGATCTGATGATGTTGTTGAAGAAACTGAAGCACAAGATTGCCCAAGTCCTCGTGGACCTTGATCCGCTGATTGAAGTCATCAATGTTGAGTCCCATCGAGTTTGCCAAGTCTTTCTCCAAAGTGAGCAAGTTCAGGGGCTGGGGTCGACGGAGCAGCTTCGAACAAGTGCTCCAAAGCAAGGCCTCGGTGCGCGTGCGAAATCCTTCCCACGTCACAAATCGTCCGTGAGCAAACGGCCTCAGTAGCCAGTTGGAAATGCCACCGTGAATGACCTGAACCAGGCGAACATCCCGGATGTCCGTGCCCGACATATCGCGTTGCGTATTATGCGGGGTGTTGGCGACAGTCATGGGCAGGGTGAAGGAATAGAGGTGGTTCTTGTCCAACAAGCCTTCGCCAGGTTGCCACTCTTCCGTTGGGGCAAGCCATGTTTTCTGAGGTTGCACTGGGCTGCCGCAGGTTCCGGAGGATGTCCTTGTGCGTTGCCAGGAGGCGCCATCATCGTCTTCACGGCCTTAGCCGGCGCAGGCTCCGGAGGGAACGTCATCATGTAGTTGACCGGAGGGTGCTGGTAGAGCTGTGATGATGCAGGTAGTTGTTTTGTGACATTGGAAAGGAATTGGGAGGGTTGTAGTTCGGGTTGTGCTGCCAAACCATCGGGTTGGTCCAATCCTGCCGTCCGAGACCAAGGTGGTGTCATGATCATGTCTGTCGAGCTTTACGAGGAGGAGAAAAGGGGCTCCTATCTTGTCTGCGTCGAGTTCTAGATCTGTCACGATCATCCCGGCGTGACATGACGGTTCAGCAAACTCAAGAGATGTGCCAACTCAACCTTGAGAAAATCGAATCCGACAAGATGCAAGTCAACGCAAGTTCAAGCCAAGCGCAAATCAACACACGGTCATGCTTGACACGGTCAGCAGTCAACATCATGGGTTGTGAGACTTAGCAATGATCTGACGGCTGTCTTCCCTTTAGTGAAACCTCGTTCCTGCTTAAACGTGAAATTCCGCTGAGCTGTGATAAGAACGTTGAGGTCAAATTTTCCGGCGAACCGGCCCGGGGTCACACGATGGGTACACCCGAGGTTCCCCCTAGATGGGGTAATCACACTTCAACTCCCAAGGGAGGATGCTAATCCTTCGAGCACAACTGATGATTCTCGAGCACAACTGATAAGTCTCGAGTAGGATAAGTTTCGACTCGCAAACCACACTCACTTCCCTAATAGCTACTTCACTGGGGAACCAAGAAGCAACAGCGGTTCGCGTTTCAGGGAGGGGACCAAAAGGACATTCCAAAATTCACACTTGCAGGTACGTCCAAGTGGCCAAGATGGATATCCACTTCATGGTGCTCGTTGGACACAGTCAAGTGAAGTTTTGTTGCTGTGTCCCCCTGCGGTCAATTGTGGTGAACAGGGTATTCTGCCACTCCGCACTCAACCACACACGCGCCCCGGCGCTCCCGCGCGCGGGCTCGCGCGGCGGCGGGTGGGGGGGGGGGCGGGGGGGATCGGGTTCGTGGGGGGTAGTGTTCGTCGCGCACAATGCGCTTCGCAAGCGCTACGCAAGGCTACGCACGCACGCTGCTGCGGCGCACGCACGCACGCTTACGAGCGCATGCACGCACGGCTTCGCGCGCGCACGCACGCACGCACGCGCGCGCGCTTGCACGCACGCGCGCGCAGCACGCGCGCGCACTTGCACGCACGCGCACTTGCGCGCACGCGCACTTGCACGCGCGCGCACTTGCGCGCACGCGCACTTGCACGCGCGCGCACTTGCACGCACGCGCACTTGCACGCACGCGCACTTGCACGCACGCGCACTTGCGCGCACGCGCACTTGCACGCACGCGCGCTTGCACGCACGCGCACTTGCACGCACGCGCACTTGCACGCACGCATTTGCACGCACGCGTTTGCACGCACGCGTTTGCACGAGCTCCGCGAAAGTGATCATTACAAAACACATGCCCGCGAAAGTGAATCGTGTGGCCGCGAAGGCATCGTGAAAGGTTCTGCAAAAGTGCTTTGTTAGTAGAGGGTTTTATGTACCCTATTTTCGGCACAGCTCAGGTGCCCTGCGGTCTATGCTGAATACCGAAGCAGTCGAACGAGCGGCTCAGCACAGATTCGAAGCTTCGCCCCAACACCGCCAGCGGATTGTCTGTTCAGCTGACCCAAATCAAAGCTCCAACTGTGGGCCCTCGCCGAACACTTTTGATCCCAGGAATTCGGCTCGGCAGCATTTCCTTCGAAGCTGAAGGCGCAAACGCGTGAGGTAGCCTAAAAATTAATTTATCGCTTGCAGCCGGCCGCGGGGTGCAGTGGCAGGTGAGAACATTCTTCGCAGATGTGAAGGAGTCCGAGGGGAAGGAGCCGAAAGACGAAATTCCAGCAGGACCTTGCTTGGTGAAATGGGTGAAGAGATGGGCATGACTTCATCTTGCCAGGAAAAGACTGCTCAGCAAAGACATGCAAGAGGTGTGAGCCGAGCTCTTAGAAAGCAGACAGAGGAAGGTAGCAGACTCAGTTCTTAGGTGTCCTCGTTGCCCTATTTGCCCAGAATGCCCAGACGGCTTCAAGCCGCGCGAGAAGGTCCCGCTTGCATCCACGGAAGGGAAGCTTGGCAAAGCCTGTTGGAGTGCCAAACGATGTGCCAAACAATGCCTGCGACTTGCTTTGCTGTGATCGTGCCTCAGGAAGATTGCAAGCAAGGAAGACAATTGCCCTTCCTGCCTGGATGCTTGGCACGGCAGCCGAAAAGCAGCCACGTTGAATGAGCCAGAGACTTGCAGGTGCCTTGGAACAGCTTCTGCGCATTTGCAGTACCTTGATGCAAGGAATGTCCACCGTGCCCGACCTGCCCAACCAAATGTGCCCTGGAAGCATGACACATACAGAAAACCAGGAGTTTTTGCAGCAACCAATAAATGCGCTCGCTTTTTACAAGGCGAACCATGCTTCAAGATTGGGACTGGGCAGCAAGCATGCATTGTACATCATGCTGATGGCTTGCATTAGCCTATTGATGTTCCTGAATGTGCTTCGAGGACAAAGGAGCAATTTCTATGATGGTTTGATGGTGCACCGTTGCCCTTGCTCTGACGCCTTCATCAACCAACACACGCGACGCTTGCGACGCTTGCGACGCTTGCGACGCTTGCGACGCTTGCGACGCTTGCGACGCTTGCGAGCGTGAGACACGCCGCGACATGCTGACAAGATCACCAGCCTGAAGGAGCTGCCCTAGCTGCAATAAGCCGGACCTGGGCGGCTTGCTTCAAGTCTGGAGCAGCCCACGAGAGGATTGTGGTTGATAGGCTCTCAACGTTGATATGGGCTTTACTCTGAAAATACATCAGCAAATGTCTAGGATAGAGGATAGAAAAGACATCAAATGATTGAAAGACTGATAAATTGATTGTTGGATATCATTGATTTTGGAACTTCTAGATCGTACATGGGAATCGTTAACAAAGCCCGAATATGTGGCGGTTTTGTTACGAATTACGAAATGATTTGGAATATATATGGTGTTAATAAATAATAGGTATTTGGATTGATTATAATAAATTTAAAAATATAAAGGAGAGGTATAATGATTTTGGATATAAT